GCGTGCCCTCCAACATTTCACAGATGAAAACCAGAACATATGGCCAAGCAAGATCAGAGAGTGGTCAAAATGGGAAAAATATATTTATGAGAAGGAAGACATAAATTAGGAAGAACTGCAGCTGTTGTTGCTGCTTTTTTTTTTTTTTTTTGCTTTAGGGGGCACCTATAGTGTGGAATTAATGCAGTTTAAAACCACTTTTAATTGCCATGGCTTGGTGCTGGAAGTTGTAGTTTGGTAAAGCAGCAACATTCTTTGGCTGAGGAGGCTAAAAACTGTGTAAAACTACTACTCCCAGAAGCCCCCAGAGCTCCAGGTGGCACAATGGGTTAGAGCCAATTTGGACCGGGTGTACGGGCCCACGCTAGCATAGCCTAAGACAGATTGCCCAGGTAGAGGTCAAGGATTTCCGTGATAGAGAAGAAACAGTTCATGAAGATAGTTGCCTGTCCCTTGTGGACAAGATTTAAAAAGCCACCAGTTGATTCAAAGCCTTGAAGTATTTGTTTGATTTATTGAATACCTAAGCAATAATAAATAACTTCGTTAAACTTTCTAAGTCTTTAAAAGAACTTTGTTTAGGGAAATCCAAAAGGCCTCTAATCCGAGGCACCCGTGGCGTCCCTTTGGGCATACAGAACACGTCCTGTCTACAGACTCTTTCACAGGCCTAGCGCGTGACAGCACAGGTCCCAAGTATTTTGGATAATGGATACTAAACCTTTTATAAATAATCTGATAGCCCTGGGTCCTTTTATTATATTCTAAATTTGATCTCCAATTGATTTCCTAAGATTCAAATATTGCATGTCAAGATTCAAATATTGCATGTCAATGGTGTATGTCAAGCTGTAGTGAAATTGCTACTCTATGTTAAAGTTTTGGTGTATACCTCTATGTTTACATATGACAGATAGGGAAGAATAGGTACAGACAGGGTAACAACAGCAGAGATAGGATTCATTTGCATATGTGAAGCCGATTGGTCATATGCAGGTTAGCGTAGGCCCAGGATTTGAAAAGGCTGCTAGGCCCAAAATGACAGTTGGAGAGAGAGAGCTGAACATTCCAAAGGGGCGGAGCCAAGGTTCTGAAAGAGGCAGTTAGAGTGAGAGAGTTGGAAAATGACAGGAATCTGTGTGTGAAGAGGAGAGTTGGTTTTTGAGTGCCTGTTAGAAATAGGCAGTTATGAAGATGTGTTAAAGACTTCTGATATAGAGAAGCAGTTAGTTAAATAGAGCTCGAGTTTTAAGGAACATAAAGAAGGCTAGTGTTGCCTGAGTCAGAATATAATTCAGCCAAGAGTGTGTAAAGCAAGTAACATGTTTGTGAATGTGAAACATTGAAAGTTTATTCAGAAAAGTAAACCAAGTAAATGATACTGACTGTAAGCCTCAAGATTGCAACAAAACACAAATGTAACCACAAGCGTTGGAGCCAGAAGTTATAAATAAACTGTGTTACTTTGTTATATACAAGAGTGTTTCATTGCCTGTGACATGAAGCACAAAGTTTTAACAGCACACAGAAAGTCCCAGCCAATATAAAAGAAGAAACTGAATCAGTATAAGGCAGCAAATAGGTTTTTTAATAAGGAAATAGTCTCTCTATTCACCACACAAGTCTCTCTATTCACCACACTATAGTCTCTCTATTCGCCACACAAGCCAAGAGGTTCTCTCCTTTCTGAGAGCTGGGGGGATGGGCTTTCTTTTTGCCACATTTAGTCTGCCTTACCAGAGCATTTAGCCAAGAGTACATGTACGTTGCTGGTCCCTTACTACATAGTGCAAATTGTGATTGTGATGGAGAAGTAACAATTAACTGGGGTGAGGAAAGGCCCAATGAGGGACCTTAATGAATTACAGAGCAAGAGCAAACCTCCTGCAGTTCCAAGCATGCTTTGATGTCAAGTTAATAGTACCAAGTGCCTGTAGGCTCTGTAGTCTGTCTCCTTGTCTCCCTAGGATGAAAATCCAACACTTTATTTCCCAGGAAAAGAAAGAGGTGGGGAAAGAAACAAAATAAGGGAAAAGGAGAAGATGACATTGCAGGTTGATAGGCTCCATCAAGGAAGCCACAGGTTTGCAAGACTTGAGCAAGACTGTGGAAAAAAGGGTCATCTGGAGGCATCTCATTAAGTCAAAGTCAATGGTAATTGAGAACAAATAGAGGGAAGGGCAGGACTGTGTTTCTGTGAGATTTCCGGGCTGTATGTCCATGTTCCAGAGGTGTTTTCTCCTGATGTTTCACCCACATCTATCTAAATCCATTAAAACACAGACATGTGCCTTTCACCTTAAGAACAGACAAGCATCCCGAGCTCTGAGGATGACCTGGAAAGGAATCCCACCAGCCACTGCCAGAAGGGACAGAGAGCTTCATCTATGCTGATGATCGTGCCATTACTGCTCAAGCAGGGAGCTTTGAGATGGTTGAACAGAAGCTCTCCGAAGCTCTAGGTGCTCTTACTGCCTACTACAGGGAAAACCAGCTGATCCCCAACCCATCTAAAAGACAGACATGTGCTTTTCATCTCAAGAACAGACAAGCACCCTGAGCTCTGAGGATGACCTGGGAAGGAATTCCACTGGAGCATTGCAGCACACCCAAATATCTGGGAGTCACTCAGGACCGTGCTCTGACCTACAAGAAGCACTGCCTGAATATCAAGCAAAAAGTGGGTGCTAGGAACAATATCATACGAAAGCTGTCTTGCACAACCTGGGGATCACAATCAGACATAGTGAAGACATCTGCCCTTGCGCTATGCTGCTCTGCTGCTGAGTATTTATGCCCAGTGAGGAACACATCTCACCACACTAAACCAGTGGATGTGGCTCTTAATGAGACATGCCGCATTATCACGGGGTGTCTGCGCCCTACACCACTGGAGAAATTACACTGCTTAGCTGGTATTGCACCACCTGACATCCGCCGGGAATTAGCAGCCAATAGCGAAAGAACCAAGGCAGTGACATCTCTAGCTCATCCCCTGTTTGGGTATCAGCCAGCACGTCAACGACTTAAATCAAGAAATAGTTTTCTAAGATCTACAGAGACACTCGCTGGAGCACCTCAGCAAGCGAGAGTCCAAAAGTGGCAGGCTCAAACCCAGAGCCTCAATCAATGGCTGATACCAAATGAGATACTCCCCCTTGGGCACACAGAAGACTAGGTGACTTGGAAGGCGCTGAACAGACTGCGCTCTGGCACCACGAGATGCAGAGCCAACCTCAAGAAATGGGGCCACAAAGTGGAATCCACGACATGCGAGTGTGGAGAAGAGCAAACCACTGACCACCTGCTGCGATGCACCCTGAGCCCTGCCACATGCACAATGGAGGGCTTTCTTGCAGCAACACCAGAGGCACTCCAAGTGGCCAGATACTGGTCAAAGGACATTTAATCAACTACCAAGCTTGCAAATTCTGTGTTTTGTCTGTTTGTTTGTTTTGTTCTGTTAGAAACGTAACACAATTTTCTGGTTGCCTCTGACACGATAAATAAATAAATAAATAACCCACATCTATGGCAGGCATCCTCAGAAGTTGTGAGGTGTGTTGGAAACTAGGCAAGTGGGGTTTATAAATCTGTGGAATAATGTTCAGGGTGAGAGAAAAAACTCTTATCAGACGGAGGCGGTGGTCCACGCTCTGGTTACATCCCGTATAGACTACTGCAACGCTCTCTACGTGGGGTTGCCTCTGAAGACTGCCCAGAAGCTTCAACTAGTCCAACGAACGGCAGCCAGATTACTAACAGGAGCAGGGTACAGGGAGCATACTTCTCCTCTGTTGCATCAGCTCCACTGGCTGCCAATCGGCTTCTGAGCACTATTCAAAGTGCTGGTGCTGACCTATAAAGCCCTAAACGACTCCAGCCCAGTTTACCTGTCCGAACGGATTCTCCCCTATGAACAATCAAGGTTGTTAAGATCTTCTGGAGGGGCCCTGCTCTCGGTCCCACCACCCTCGCAATCGCGTCTGGTGGGGACGAGGGACAGGGCCTTCTCGGTGGTGGCCCCTCAGCTCTGGAACTCTCTCCCATTGGAGATTAGATCCGCCTCTTCCCTCCTGACTTTCAGAAAGCTGGTAAAAACCTGGCTTTAGAATATAGCATTGGCGGAATGATGATCGAGTCAATAACGGCTGACCACACCGGCGGATGGTGATGAATTTGTGATTTTATTCTGACGACGTGGCTTTTGTAATTGTATGATATTGTGTGATCTGTATTTTAATGTATTTTGTATTAATGTATTATGATGCTATTATGTTTACTATATTTGTGTTGGATTTTCTGCTGTTAGCCGGCCTGAGTCCCTCTTCGGAGGTCGAGAAGATCAGGTTATAAAAGATCTAAATAAATAAATACATAAATAAATAAATGTTGGAATTGGCCACCTTGATTGTCATTTAATGGCATTGCAACCTTAAAGTCTGGCTGGTTGCTGCCCTTGTTGGAAGGTGTTATCTGCACCGAAGACCAACAGGTCAGAGGTTTGAATCTGGGGAGAGTGCAGATGAGCCCCCTCTGTCAGCTCCAGCTCCCCATGCAGGGACATAAGAGAACACAAAGATGGTAAAACATCAAAACATCTGGGCATTCCATGGACAATGTCCTTGCAGATGGCTGATTCTCTCACACCAGAAACAACTTGCAGTTTCTCAAGTCACTCCTGACATGAAAATAAAGGGGGACCCTGCACCTCTAACCCCAGTGAATGTGAAAATCTAACTAGGTCAACTCTAGAGCCTAATTGTAATCTGATATGACCTAGAAGCATTGCATTGAGCAGGGCATTTTGCTTCAATCCTTCACAGAACTGACACATTGAGAGCAATAACTCTGGGGAATGACGATCCCCAGAAGTCTCTAGCCTGGTCACGGGCTTGGTTGGGGAATTCTGAGAATTTGCATTTAAACACATACTTTTTCCAGTTCTGTCAGTCCCCACATAACCCTCAGACCTAATGAATTTGCTTCCCTTTTTCCAGGGATCTAAAGAACAACCTGATCAGCACCATCCAGCCTGGAGCTTTCCTTGGTCTCTCCGATCTGAAACGTCTGTAAGTACAGTGATACCTTGAGTTAAAAATTTAATTTGTTTCATGACTGAGCTCTTAACTCAAATTGCTCTTATCTCAAATATAATTTTCCCATTGAAATGCCGGCCCCCTGATGCCCCCCCCCCAATTGTTACATGTTTTTATATGTAATTATATATATTTGTTTTCTATATAAATAAAAATGTAATATTCGTTTTTTGGATTAACATAACTCAAAAACCACTGGACGAATTGTTATGAAATTTGGACACCAATACCCCTAACAGACCAACGAGTGACCATCACTCATAACTACCACCCCCACCCCCCAAAAAAGGGCAGAAAGGACTTAAAAACCCAAAACAGCTAAATGACATACAGAAAAAAGGGAAGGAAGAGGGAAGGAAGGAAGGGAAGGAAGGAGAGAGAAAAAGAAAGAAAGAAAGAAAGAAAGAAAGAAAGGGAAAGAAAGAAGGAAGGAAAGAGGGAAGGAAGAGGGAAAGAAAGGGAGGAAGGAAAGATGCAGAGAAGGAAAGAAGGAGAGAAAAAGGAAGGAAAAGGAAAAAGGGGGAAGGAAGGTATGAGGTAGAAAAGGAAGGAAGGAGAGAAAGAAAGAAAGAAAGAAAGAAAGAAAGAAAGAAAGAAAGAAAGAAAGAAAGGGCAAGAAAGAAGGAAAGAGGGAAGGAAGCAGGGAAGCAAAGAGCAAAGGGAGGAAGGAAAGATGCAGAGAAGGAAAGAAGGAGAGAAAAAGGAAGGAAAAGGAAAAAGGGGGAAGGAAGGTATGAGGTAGAAAAGGAAGGAAGGAGAGAAAGAAAGAAAGAAAGAAAGAAAGAAAGAAAGAAAGAAAGAAAGAAAGAAAGAAAGAAAGAAAGGGCAAGAAAGAAGGAAAGAGGGAAGGAAGCAGGGAAGCAAAGAGCAAAGGGAGGAAGGAAAGATGCAGAGAAGGAAAGAAGGAGAGAAAAAGGAAGGAAAAGGAAAAAGGGGGAAGGAAGGTATGAAGGAAGGAGAGAAAGAAAGAAAGAAAGAAAGAAAGAGAAGAAAAGACTTAAAAACCCAAAACAGCTAAATGACATACAGAAAAAAGGGAAGGAAGAGGGAGGGAGGGAAGGAAGGAAGGAGAGAAAGAAAGAAAGAAAGAAAGAAAGAAAGAAAGAAAGAAAGAAAGAAAGAAAGAAAGAAAGAAAGGGCAGGAAAAAGAAGGGATGGGATTTGGATCAAGAGATGGGTCAAGAGAGAGAGAGGACTTGGCTTTTTAAAAAATATAAGGAAGGAAGAAAAGGAAGGAAGAAAGGAAAGAGGGAGCGAAGGAAGGAGGGAAAGAAGGAGAGAAAGAGGGAGGAAAGGAAAGAAGGAAATAGAGAAAGAAGCGTGGAAGCAAAGAACAAAGGAGGGAAAGAGGCAGAGAAGGAAGGAAGGAGAGAAAGAGGAAGGAAAAGAAATAGGGGGACGGAAGGAAAGAGGTAGAAAAGGAAGGAAGGAGAGAAGGAATGAAGAAAAGGGAAGGAAGGAAGGAAAGAGGGAGCAAAGGAAGGAGGGAAAGAAGGAGGAAAAAGAGAGATGGATGGTTGACCACAGCAACGTGTGGCGGGTACAGCTAGTTTATATAATAAATAACAAATAATGTATAAATGCACATTCACATATATCTATGCACATAATAAAAGTGTGTATTTGACTGGACACAGAACCCCCATGACCAAAGATAAATACTGGAGAGGTTTTGAGGAAATTCACCTTGATTTATAACCATTGAAGGTACTGGGATTTATAGTTCACCTGCAATCAGATCACTCTGGACCCCACCAGCAATGGCTTTGGACCTCACTTGGCACACAGAACCCCCATGACCAACAAAAAATACAGGAAGACTTTGGGGAAAATTCACCTTGATTTATAGGAATTATAGTTCACTTACATCCAGAGAGCACTGTGAACACAAACAACAATGGATCTGCACCACATTTGCCATACATACCCGATATGCCAAAAATTGAATACTGCTGGGTTTTGGGGGGAATTGGCCTTGACATTTGTTAGTTGTGGGTACTAGGATTTATAGTTCACCTGCAATCAAAGAGCACTCTGCACCCCACCAATGATGGACGTGGACCTAACTTGGCACATAGAGCCTCCATGACCAACTGACTATACTAGAGGGATTTGACGGGACTGATAGAGTTTCAGGGTGTTAACTTGGTATGATGTGAATTGTAGTTCACTTACAACCTTAGGCATTTTGTAAAATTAAAAAATGACTTATTCTAATAACCCAGGCGATGCCGGGTACCCAAGCTAGTGGGACAATAAAAAAATGAAGATCAACTTGAAATGGTAGAAGCACAAAGTTGTGGCAAGGAGGCCCACAACAAAGAGGCAGAAGCATCTTTTTCGTTATACTGTACTCATTCCATCCTCCTTCCCTCTTTTGCTCTCTCTTCATGAAGCCAAACATACCACACAAAGTCAACTAACCCATAGTTCCTCAAAGTGGACAAGAACAAAGCAGACAGCAATCTCCCATAATGCCTAGAGGCTCCTCCCTTGAAGCCCTAAAGCCCTGTCAACTCATGCTAATGCTGCCTCTGATACTCGCTCTCTGTCACGACGCCAGGGCTCTGCCGTTATTTCCAGCAGAGGTGAATCAAACAAACACCCAGTTTGTGTTAAACAATTTAATTAAAACAGTACTTACTTTCTGGCTGCTTTAATAGTCCAAAATATAAACATAAAGATAGCACCCAGCCACAGAATAAACAAAAACTGATAGCAAATGCTACACCATAGACAAAGGGTCCAGTCCAGTGGTCAAATGCCAAGAGTTCAATAAACAAAGTCCAGGGATCAAGAGTCTATACCGTAGTCAAAAGCCAGTCCAGAGGTCCAAGGTTCCAGGGTTCCAAGATTACAGGAGACATACCAGGATACTGAAAATCCAACAAACCTGGGGGAAAACCAGCAGCATCTACCACCAAAATGAGACAAATACTTTTTGTCCAGTCCAGAGATTCAAGGTTCCAGGGTTCCAAGATTACAGGAGACAGGTCAGGATACTGAAAATCCAACAAACCTAGGGGAAAACCAGCAGCATCTACCACCAAAATAAGACAAATACTTTTTGTCCAGTCCAGGGATTCAAGGTTCCAGGGTTCCAAGATTACAGGAGACAGGTCAGGATACTGAAAATCCAACAAACCTGGGGGGAAACCAGCAGCATCTACCACCAAAATAAGACAAATACTTTTTGTCCAGTCCAGAGATTCAAGGTTCCAGGGTTCCAAGATTACATGAGACAGGTCAGGATACTGAAATTCCAACAAACCTGGGGGAAAACCAGCAGCATCTACCACCAAAATGAGACAAATACTTTTTGTCCAGTCCAGAGATTCAAGGTTCCAGGGTTCCAAGATTACAGGAGACAGGTCAGGATACTGAAAATCCAACAAACCTGGGGGGAAACCAGCAGCATCTACCACCAAAATAAGACAAATACTTTTTGTCCAGTCCAGGGATTCAAGGTTCCAGGGTTCCAAGATTACAGGAGACAGGTCAGGATACTGACAATCCAACAAACCTGGGGGGAAACCAGCAGCATCTACCACCAAAATAAGACAAATACTTTTTGTCCAGTCCAGAGATTCAAGGTTCCAGGGTTCCAAGATTACATGAGACAGGTGAGAATACTGAAAATCCAACAAACCTGGGGGAAACCAGCAGCATCTACCACCAAAATAAGACGAATACTTTTCTCCCGAAGATTGGTCCCAAGGCTAGCTCCTTATATCCCAAAACACCTAGCTGCAACCCATCTCCTGCATACCTACACCCTTAATTGCTTTCACCCATGAACTCTTCCTTACAGATTGTTGTTGTTCATTCGTTCAGTCGTCTCCGACTCTTCGTGACCTCATGGACCAGCCTACGCCAGAGCTCCCTGTCGGCCGTTACCACCCCCAGCTCCCTCAGCAGATTACTCAACCCTTTACAACTAAGACTTACATTAACCCTTCCATCACCAACTGCCAAGCCTACCACCACCAATCGCCATCAACTGCAGAACATGATACATAACGCTCTCCCTCTGGCGCTAGCTCTTAACTCAAAACACTGCTCAGATGTCAAAGCTAAATCCGGGCCGAGCAGTGGCACTTAACTCAAAGCACTCTCAAGTTGAGACACTCTTAAGGCAAAGTTCCACTGTACTATTCAAAACCAGCCCATATAATTCCAAAGGAGTCCTCCCCATTATCCTACGAGTCCCTTACTCATCGGTCCAGTTCACACATTATCAAATTAATCTTATCACTCACATTTCACTCACACTCTCTTACCCTCTTCTGCTCTCTCTCCTAACTCCAGGAAGGAGTATGGAAGTAATTACCATGTAGCTCAAAATGTGTGACCATCTATGTATCTACAGATGATCACACATGCATAAAAGTGCATGTAGGTGCCCTCCTTGGTCTTCAAATGTTGCAATGCCAGATCTTACCAGATCTACCGTGGTTCCCTTTCTATATCCTTTGCTTCCTCTGTTTTTTTGACAGGGATCTCTCTAACAATCGCATCGGCTGCCTCAACACTGGCATCTTCCAGGGTCTGACCAGTCTCATCCGTTTGTAAGTATTGGGTAGCATGGAGGGTGGTGATGATCTTTGGATCCAAGTCCCTGGCATGCATGCCTCCCAGTTATCTGAACGATGCCTTTTGCTGACAACGCCGTATTAAAGATCTCCATCTTTCTGGTTTTGGTCTTCTGCAGTTGTAACTCTCCAGGAGGAGTGAGCCAGAGATATAGCCAGTGGAGACAACTTCAAGTTTGCAGTGCATGTCACAAAAGTTTGTGTGTATGTGCATGAGCACACACATCCCACAGTAGTACCATCATGCCTAAATGGAGTAGCTCAAATTACTAGTTAATTCTCCTTAGATAAGGCCTGCACAACCAGTGACCCTCCATGTGTTTCGAACTTCAGATCCCAAAATTTCTGGCCATTGGACAAACTGGCTAAGGCTTCTCGGATTTGGAGACCCAGACATCTGAAGAGCCATAGGTTGTGCAGGCCTGCCTTTAAACTACATGAGGACACTACTAATGTCTTCTGGCTATGTAGTATGTTGAGTTTGGGGGTCAAAAAGGGTTATTCCCAGGGCGGAGAGGTTAGCGGAGCAAAAGTGAGATAGCCTTGATAGTCTTGAAATTAGTCTAGGAGAAGAATGGCACCGATTTTCAAGCGATCTGTAGACCCGTGGATACGGGGACCTGATGGGTTTCCGTATCCACGGTTCAGAAAAAAGCCAAATGCCTCTGAACACTAGCCATGGGAGAAGTCAATTGCCCTGAAATCTTACCTATAGGACCTCATCAATATCTTACAGGAAACAGAATTGCTGGGCTACAAAGACCTTTGGTATAATTGAGTAGATGTCCTTCAGATGGAGCTGCCATATTGCCCACCTCGAAATTAGATAGACATTTTTATTTATTTATTACTTTTATATGCCGCCCTTCTCACCCCGGATTATGTTTGTGAATTGATATGCCCAAATTTGAATACTGGTGGGGTTGTGGGGGGGAGGTTATTGATTTTGTCATTTGGGAGTTGTAGTTGCTGGAATTTATAGTTCACCTACAATCAAAGAGCATTCTGAACTCCAGCAACGATGGAATTGAACCAAACTTGGCACACAGAACTCCCATGACCAACAGAAAATACTGGAAGCGTTTGGTGGGCATTGACCTTGAGTTTTGGAGTTGTAGTTCACCTACATCCAGACAGAGCATTGTGGACTCAAACAATGATGGTTCTGGACCAAACTTGGCTCAAATACTCATAATAATAATAATAATAATAATAATAATAATAATAATAATAATAATAATAATAATAATAATAATACTTTATTTATACCCTGCCTCCATCTCCCACAAGGGGACTCGGGCGGCTTACATGAGACCATGTCCATCAATACAGTAAACACAATATAACACAAAAGCATAAAAGAAAACCAGAAAATAAAATACATAAGATGCAAAACCAATATAATAAGTGACACAGCAATATAAAATCAAACATTAAAACACAAATGATTACGCTGGGCAAGGCCAAATTCAAAGATAAAATTTTGAAACACTGGGAGATAGAACAATGCAAAATATCAGGGAGGGGATCCGAGGATGAGGTAGGAATTAATTGCATGAACCATAAAATAAAGTGCTTCTGAGGTCATTTTATGCAAAGTTTGGTCAGGGAGTATCTTACACTCAAATAATTGAAGGCACATTGGAATAACCAAGTTTTCAGGCTCCTCCTGAAGACTGCCAAATGTCAACATTGGTGGAGTTTGAGGAAACTGTTCTGGCCCAACTTACCTGTCCGAACGTATCTCCCCTTATGAACCACTGAGGACTTTAAGATCATCTGGAGAGGCCCTGCTCTCGGTCCCGCCTTCATCACAAGCATGTTTGGTGGGGACGAGAGACAGGGCCTTCTCAGTCGTGACCCCTCGGCTATGGAATGCCCTCCCTAGGGAGATCAGATCTGCTCCCTTCCTCTTGACGTTTCGGAGGCAAGTTAAAACGTGGCTATTCGAGCAAGCGTTTACAAATATGGAGTAGCTAATATAGGAAATTGAATGACCTGACGATGGAATTGGACAATGCTTGAGAATAATGAGATGCTGATGATGTTGCTTTTATTGCTTTTATGATGTTTTATACTGTTTAATATTTTTATCTATTACGTTTTATGTATACTGATTTGTTGGAAACCGCCTTGAGTCGCCAATTGGCTGAGAAAGACAGTATACAAATACAGTAAATAAATAATAACTAATAAATAAAATAGATCTTGACATTTGAGAGTTGTAGTTGCTGGGATTCATAGTTCACCTAAAATCAAAGAGGTTCCTGATCCTCACCAAGGATAGAATTGGGCCAAACCTCCTACACAGATCAACAGAAAATACTGTGTTTTCTGATGGTTTAACACCACCTTGCGACCCCCCCCCCCCAGGGGTCCCGACCCCCAAGTTGAGAAACACTGGTCTAGATGGACCTTTTTTCTGACCTTATGAGGCTCTTCTCATTTTTTCCATTCTCTTTTACAGGAACATGTCAGGGAATATTTTCTCCAGCCTCCAGTATGGAGTCTTCGATGAGCTAATATCTTTGAAAGTACTGTGAGTATTTCCTTTTATGTGCATTTAAAAGATCAACATGTCTAGCACATGTTGACCTCTCATGTGCTAGATATGAGAGGTCGACAAAGTGAAGGCCTTCTTATGCAAACTGGAACTAGTCTTGGAACCATTGCTAACCTGTCAGATGTTGGAAATGGCAACCTTCTACAAGCCTCCTATAGTAGTTATTTGTTATGTATATAATTGTGATTGCTTACTATATTGTATGTATATATTGATATGCAGCTTTCCCCTTAACTCTATGTTGTTTGAGGTTGTGGGAGGGACTACAGATCATGTGACCAGATCTGGGACTATTCAGACTTAGACTCCATTTTAGAAGTCAGTATGCAGTTGGTAGTGTCAGTATGCTGCAGTGAGTAGTCAGCCTGTATTGAGTCAATGTTCAGTAATGTATTAGACTGAAGAGAGTGCAACAGAGAAGAGATTAAAACAAAATGCTTTAGAGAACAGATTGTTTAAACTCTCATGGTGAATATATGAAATTTATAAGTAAATCAACTATGGTCTCTTGAGAACATGATTTAAAAGCAATATATTTTATGGGAGAGTAGCTGTATAGCTGAAGATCTGCTATATATTCTGTGTATTTGCATATATTTGCATATTTGCATATATTTGCATATTGCAGAGTGTATTTGCATATTGCAGAGATAACCAGGTATATCAGTCTAACAACTGCATGAATACTATTGGATATTTGCCACTAAGAAGAAGATAAACTCAAACAAGTATTTAACTGGGTTGTTGTAGTATTTTTTCGGGCTATATGGCCATGTTCTAGAGGCATTCTCTCCTGACGTTTTGCCTGCATCTATGGCAAGCATCCTCATAGGTAGTGAGGCCTGTTGGGACCAGGAAAATGGATTTATATATCTGTGGAATGACCAGGGTGGGACAAAGGACTCTTGTCTTTTGGAGCCAGGTGTGAATGTTTCAACTGACCACCTTGATTAGCATTTGATGGCCTGACAGTTGTTTGTGCCTGGGGCAGTCTTTTGTTGAGAGGTGATTAGTTGTCTCTGGGTTGTTGTAGGCTTTTTCGGGCTATATGGCCATGTTCTAGAGGCATTTTCTCCTGACGTTTCACCTGCATTGGTATCCTTTAGGAGCGACCTGGTCTTTTTGCTTGAGATGCAAATGTCCTTCTTGCCAAAGTCTGGCTCTTCTTTACGCTCGGAAGCAAAGCAAGACTTCAGGAAGGAACAGGAGAAGGATTTGGAGGATGGCAGAGAGAAAAAGAGAAAGATGTCTCTGATTGTTTCCTCTCTGTTGTTTTGCTGTTGTAATTTTAGAGTTTTTTAATACTGGTAGCCAGATTTTGTTCATTTTCATGGTTTCCTCCTTTCTGTTGAAATTGTCCACACGTTTGTGGATTTCAATGGCATCTCTTTGTAGTCTGACATGGTGGTTGGGGAAAAAATTGGGGGAAAAAGAACATGGCCATATAGCCTGAAAAAACCTACAACAACCCAGTGATTCCGGCCATGAAAGTCTTCGACTGTGCAGGTACAGCTGTACCAGGAGTTCCAATTTTGTTTGCTTTGCATTGAATGTTTTTTGTAGTCCTGAGTTTCAGGGACTCTGCAGATAGGTGGCTTCTTTTGGCTGCAATCATAGGGCAAGCCACCTGTCAATTGTAGTTAGGTTCCCTGGTCCCGCCCCCTTTTGCAGTTTTTGGAGGGAATATGAGCCTTTTTGGGTTCAGTCCACACAGAGAAGCCTTTTGCACAGGACATAATACCAAGAGCTCCTGTAGAAAGCTTCGTCTTCTACGGCTTGGCCGGGGAGATATATAGCCTACGGCTTGGCCGGGGAGATATACAGCCTACGGCTTGGCCGGGGAGATATACAGCCTACGGCTTGGCCGGGGAGAAAAGGCCCCACAGCTTGGCCAGGGTTATACAGCCCACAACTTGGCCGAGGATCATACAGCCTTACAGCTCCTTTGCGGAGGGACTTCAGTCAGCCAACCTGAACTCCTTTGGAAGTCTACAAAACTCCCTTGGAAGTCTACAAAGCTCTGCTTGGTAAGGGTCGCTCGCGGAAGCCAGAAGCAGTTGGTACCGGGTGCAGGGGCTCCACGCCAACAGAGGCAAAGACAGACTGCCCAGATTAGAAGTTAAGGATTTCCCCATTAGTTACAGTTATGAAGATAGTGCCTGTTCCCTGTGGACAAGATTGAAAGAGCCAATAGACTGTTAAGAAAGCCTTAAAGTACCTGTTTGTTTTCAATAATAAAGAACTTTGTTGAACCTTTAAGCAATCTAAAGACTCTGTTTTAAGGAAATCCAAAGGTCTTTAATCTGAGGCAGCCCCGGCGTCCCGTTGGGCACACAGAATTTATGTCTTGTCTACAGTCTTATGCACAGGCCCAGTGTGCGACAGCACATCGACAAGACAAGTATTTAACTCTTCTTAGAAAGATCATATTTTCCAAAAGGTTATATTCTCTGAAAGGTCATGCCTTTCCAAAATCGGAAGGCTATGGATGCAGAGTTCCTTAAATATGTTGCTTCTTGTTTTGGTTTTTTTTTCTGGAATCCTTCTACCCATCCTTACCAAACACAAAATGTGGCTCTGCCCCTCTCCAGAGACTTTGCCACGGAACACCTGACATGTGACTGCAACTTGCGTTGGGTCCTGGCCTGGTCAAAGAATCATTCCGTCCAGATATCTGACAAGACCTTGTGCATCTACCCCAGCAGCCTACATGGGAAGCCGCTTCGGAATACCAGAGAGGGCCAGATGCGTTGTGGTGAGTGGTCTGGCTGTTTACATTGCAGCAGGAGTTGGGAAAGTTACTTTTCTGGAGTATGTGTATATGCCTTCAAGTTACTTACCAACTTAGGGCAACTCCATTAATCTCAGAAGGTTTTCTTAGGCAATTATTATTATTATTATTATTATTATTATTATTATTATTATTATTATTATTTTGGGCCCAGCCTCATGTTAGCCACTCCCTTTGGGGAGATGGTGGTGGGTTATATATAAAGATTATTACTATTATTATTATTATTGACACAAAAGCACAGTATGTCACGGCAAACGAGATCTATATGCTGGATTTCGTATCACAAAATCACAAGACGAACTCTTCCCAAGCGTCTAGGACTGTGTAATGTCTGGTAGTCTACCAGACTTCAAGACTACCAGTATTGAAGCAAAGTTCCTCCGCCATCAACTCCGCTGGACCGGCCACGTTGTCCGGATGCCCGACCACTGTCTCCCAAAGCAGTTGCTCTACTCCGAACTCAAGAACGGAAAACGGAATGTTGGTGGACAGGAAAAGAGATTGAAAGATGGGCTCAAAGCCAACCTTAAAAACTCTGGCATAGACACTGAGAACTGGGAAGCCCTTGACCACTCCAGCTGGAGGTCAGCTGTGACCAGCAGTGCTGCAGAATTTGAAGAGGCACAAATGGAGGGCGAAAGGGAGAAGCGTGCCAAGAGGAAGGCGCGTCAAGCCAACCCCGGCCGAGACCGCCTTCCACCTGGAAACCAATGCCCTCACTGCGGAAGAAGATGCAGAGCAAGAATAGGGCTCCATAGCCACATACGGACCCACAAGAATACTGGAAGACAATCCTCCTCAGAAAACGAGGGATCGCCTAAGTAAGTAAGATGTATTTTCGAATGATGCGCACAGATCCAAGTAAGGTGGCCTTTTGCAGTTGAAAGATCGTGATTTTGTCGATGTTTATTGTTTCCAATTATTATTATTATTATTATTATTATTATTATTATTATTATTATTATTAAAGAACCCTGAGAGGTGGTTTGCCATTTTCTTCCTTTGAAAGAATAGGAAATACGAGTCCCCGGCGGTGCGGTAGGTTAAACCCTTGTGCTGGCAGGACTGAAGACCGACAGGTCAGAAGTTCGAATCCAGGGAGATTGCGGATGAGCTCCCTCTTTCTGCTCCAGCTCCCTATGCAGGGGCATGAGAGAAGCCTCTAACAAGGATGGTAAAAACATCAAACATCTGGGCATCCCCTAGGCAATGTCCTTGCAGATGGCCAATTCTCTCATGCCAGAAGCAACTTGCAGTTTCTCAAGTCACTCCTGACACAAAGAAAAAAAAAACACTTGAAATTTCTATGTGTCCCCCGCTTCCAAGTCCTAACTAGGCTTGATGCTATAGCTTCTAAGACAAGGGTGGGCAAAGTACGCCATATGAACCACTTGCTACCTGTACAGGGCTGTTCTTGTGGACCTAGACTCACTAAAGAAATTTGCACCAAGATGCTCTCAATGTCCCTTTTGGGAGCATGGGAACATTTTTGTCGTTTTTGCAAATTAGGCTGAGGAAAGGACTTTCACTTGCACATCTTATTTCCTGACATGGCCCAAAGAAGTGTAAAACATAATAATAATAATAATAATAATAATAATAATAATAATAATAATAATAATAACAACAACAACAACACCTTACTGGGATCTGCACATATTATTCGCCTACACATCACACAATCCTAGACACTTGGGAAATGTCCAACATGTGATCCAATTCAACAGCCAGCAGAGTGTCTGCTGTGGACTCATATTTTTGTACACCTGGGAAGGAATCCCACTGGAGCATTGCAGCGCACCCAAATACCTGGGAGTCACTCTGGACCGTGCTCTGACCTACAAGAAGCATTGCCTGAACATCAAGCAAAAAGTGGGTGCTAGAAACAATATCGTACGAAAGCTGGGGATCACAACCAGATACAGTGAAGACATCTTCCCTTGCGCTATGCTACTCTGCTACTGAGTATGCATGCCCAGTGTGGAACACATCTCACCACACTAAAACAGTGGATGTGGCTCTTAATGAGGCATGCCGCATTATCTGCGCCCTACACCACTGGAGAAACTACACTGTTTAGCTGGTATTGCACCACCTGACGTCCGCCGGGAAGTAGCAGCCAATAGTGAAAGGACCAAGGCAGAGACATCTCCAGCTCATCCCCTGTTTGAGTATCAGCCAGCACATCAACAACTTAAATCAAGAAATAGTTTTCTAAGATCTACAGAGACACTCGCTGGAACACCTCAGCAAGCGAGAGTCCAAAAGTGGCAGGCTCAAACCCAGAACCTCAATCAATGGCTGATACCAAATGAGAGACTTCTCCCTGGGCACACAGAAGACTGAGCGACTTGGAAGGCGCTGAACAGACTGACAATCTAAAAAATGGGGCTACAAAGTGGAATCCACGACATGCAAGTGTGGAGAAGAGCAGACCACCTGCTGCAATGCAACCTGAGCCCTGCCACATGCACAATGGAGGACCTCCTTGCGGCAACACTAGAGGCACTCCGCGTGGCCAGATACTGGTCAAAGGACATTTATCAACTACCAACCTTGCAAACTTTGTGAATTTTTTATCTGTTTGTTTGTTCTGTTCTGTTAGAAATGTAATACAATGGTCTGGTTGCCCCTGATGATAAATAAATAAATCTTGTTGTGTTTCAAATAATAATAATCATCATCATCACCATCATCATCTTTTTTTATATCTTGCCACCATCTCACCAAGGGGACTCGGGGCAGCTTACTTGAGGCCAAGCCCAGCAATACAGCAATACAAACAACGTACAATGACAATAAAAAGTAAAAATAAAAAATAAATACAAAAACCAATATAAATAAACATAAACAATGTAAAATCACAATAATTTAAACACAGAAAATATATCACAGTGGGCAGGGCCGATACTAAGGATTAAAAAGTTTTAAAACACTAGGTGAGAAGGCAATGTATTGTATCTGGACAAGGGATCAGAGGGATGAAAGTAGGGTTTAATTGCACTAAAGTGCTTCCAAAGAAATTATTTTGCAAGGTTTGGTCAGGTCGGGGGTTATAGTTCAGTGACATGACAAAAACGACCCCACATTCACTAGAAGGTGTTTGTGAACATTTGTGGGCATCTGAGGGAGTGATAGTGAAGGGGCAGCTTCCCAAGATCTGTGATGTTATTCGCATTACACAGCCATCATAAAGATCATCACCCTCTCCCTTCCAATACAACTTCAGTGAGTTCTCCCTCTCCATCTTACAGAAGGGGCTCCGGAGCTACACACCCACCAGCTCATCCCATCCCTGCGGCAGGTTGTTTTCCAAGGTGACCGCTTGCCTTTCCAGTGTACAGCCACCTACCTGGACAATAGTACACACATCCTTTGGTACCACAACCATGCCCTGGTCCAGGAAGATGAACACAGTGGCGTAATCCTGGAAGAGAGCCTTGTCCATGATTGCACCTTTATCACAAGGTACTGGAGCCTAGCTTGGGTGGATTGGAGGGCGAGGGAGGGAGTCAGGGGGATCTGATAAATAATTTGAAGGCAGCACTTCCGCCATCTATCTTCATAAAAATACATTTATGGGTGAAGTCCATCCTAAGGAAATGCCTTGGTAATCACCATCTTCAACCATTTAACTTCTCTGCTACTTGAATGGTGTTTCCCAAGCCCTTTTGTCAGTGAAATGTTGTGAATCAAAATATTGAGACTCTGGTGTAGAAAGAATGTTATGCCATGTGGGAAGGGTGGTTGGTTCCAAATGACCAAACCTGCACAGTTTCTGAAAGCATGATCTTTCCTCAGCGAGCTCATCCTGTCCAACATCCATGTCTCGGCCAGCGGCGAATGGGAATGCACCATCCTCACTGCTCAGGGCAACGTTAGCAAGAAAGTGGAGATCGTTGTGCTGGAGACGTCGGCATCCTACTGCCCACCAGAGCGGGTTGCCAACAACCGTGGAGATTTCAGGTGAGGATCATTATTGTACCAAACTCACATCCACCAGTTTGTCCAGCAGTTTAACAACTGGGACGCAGTGCTTCACAGGAAGCTGGCAGGAACTATTGCATGAACAATGGGATATCTTCTCTCGTCTGCCCTCTGCTGCCTTGGTGCTTGTATTTTAAAGAAGGCCAGAGTAAGAAAGAGCATCTCTTCAAAGGCTTGTTTATGTTAGAAGACTGCAGAGTGTGGAAAACTATTTTCAAAAGTTCCCCAAAATAGTTACTGACTACTTGTAACTAACTGTTTCAATTCTCCTGATTTGAAAGTAGCTAATGTAGATACTTCTGATTATTTTGAAAATATATAAATTAGATACCAAAAACTTGTAATTTCAACAGTAACTAAAACTATGCTACAGTTATCCATTTAAAAAGGCATGGTGTTATTTATCACTACTGTTCCATCTCCCAGGAGCCTGATTTGCCTTACTTTATAGTTGCCTGAGGTTGCTTCCTCTTGCATTTTCTCCCAGGGCTGCTGCATCTTTGCAAGAGTCCTAAAAAGTTAATAGTATCAGAGTCTGCAGGCCTCTTTGCAACTATTGGCTTAGAGAGCAGCTCTTTGAGTTTAGGGACCGCCTTTTCTCCCAGGGAAAGATCCCCATTTTAGATTCTCCCCTGCCTTTTCAGTTTGAGGAAAGACTTCAGACATGCTGACGGCTAGGCAGTTAGCTCTGGGAAAACGATTGCAAAAACTAAACTGAGTAAGATATATTAAGCTATAGATAGTATATTACACACTATAGATAAGTATTAAGCTAAACTGAGTAAGATATATTGAGTTAATATAGATAGTATATTGTGTATTGAGCTGCATTGAGACATTTTAGACAGATAAGCTTAGTTGAGAAGATTGAGTTATATAGTTATAGAGAGAGAGAGTCGTGACTGCTTTGTCTCCAGGACTGACCTTAAGTTATAGATAGGGAAAAAGCCTGCCTTTTTCTAAACCACAACAGCTTAAGGTTAGGGTGTTAAGATTCCAGGATCTTATCTGCCATCTGGAGAAAGGGTTGCCTCTGTAACTATAGGAAAGAAAAAATATTTTTGTAGCTTCATCTATTGACTGTTTGTTTGCAACTGTATGAACTGTGCCAAGTCTTCAAGGACTTTGTGTAAATTAATATTCTCTTTTTTTGATGTTTAAACTCAATACTAGTCTCAGTTGCTTAGTATCTTAAGTTTTCAAGATAGACAACTGCAGTTCGCTCAGCTAGAGAGAGAAGCACGTCGCAGTCTTATTTTTTATAGCGTCTGGGCGGACGGCACAACTACATTATCTGTTGCAAAGTTGAAATCATAGCTTAACTTAGTTATACCTTGTGTGTGTGTGTTTTTGGCCTGTTAACTAATGTAATGGCATGCATTTCACATGGCATTTTTAAGACAAGGAATACCCACCTGTGGTTTTGACAGTTCCTTACTCATTATACAATAATTGGAATTTGTTGGTGGGCGCCCATTAAAGTACTGATGCTGCTTAGCTTGGGATCTGGCGCTTTTAGGGTATTTAGGATAATGATTATGCTTTAGTTAACCTGGTGGTACAATGAGTTAAACTGCTGAGCTACTGAAATTACTGGCCAAAAGGTTGGCAGTTCAAATCCAGGGAGCCGGGTGAACTCCCCACAGCTTCTGCCAACCTAGCAGTTCAAAAACAAGCAAATGTGAGTAGATTATTGATCTACTGCTCCGGTAGGAAGGTAACGGCACTCCATGCAGTCATGCTGGCCACATGCTTACTTATTTACCCTCACTGTCTGAGTAAGATTGTCCTCCAAGTTCAGTGTTCTGGTGGTGGGTACGTAGATGACTGTGAAGCCCTATTCTTGATCTGCATGTTCTCCTGCAGTGAGGGCATTGGGGTTGGCTTGACACGCTTTCCTCTTGGCACGTTTCTCTCTAAAACAATCAAGGGTCTGGAGAACAAACCCTATGAGGAGCGGCTTAAAGAACTGGGCACGTTTAGCCTGAAGAAGAGAAGGCTGAGAGGAGACATGATGAGAGCCATGCGTAAATATGTGAGAGGAAGCCATAGGGAGGAGGGAGCAAGCTTGTTTTCTGCTTCCCTGGAGACTAGGACGAGGAACAATGGCTTCAAACTACAAGAAAGGAAATTCCATCTGAACATTAGGAAGAACTTCCTGACAAAATGAACAAAATCTGGCTACCAGGATTTTAAAAACTCTAAAATTACAACAGCACAACAACAGAGAGGAAACAAACAAGGACATCTAATCACCTCTCAACAAAAGTTTGCTCTAGACACTGTCAGGCCATTATATGCTAATCAAGGTGGTCAGTTGAAACATTTACACCTGGCTCCAGCGGGCAAGAGTCCTTTGTCTCACCCTGGTCATTCCACAGATATATAAACCCTTTTTCCTAGTTCCAACAGACCTCACTACCTCTGAGGATGCTTGCCATAGATGCAGGCGAAACGTCAGGAGAGAATGCCTCTAGACCATGGCCATATAGCCCGAAAAAACCTACAACAACCTATTGTCGAATCAATTGGGAAGGACAAATTTCATGGCCCAGTGAATCCGTCCATGAAAGCCTTTGACAATACATTGAACTTCCTGACTGTGAGAGCTGTTCAGCAGTGGAACTCTCTGCCCTGAAGTGTGGTGTAGGCTCCTTCTTTGGAAGCTTTTAAACAGAAGTTGGATGGCCATCTGTCGGGGGTGCTTTGAATGCAATTTTCCTGCTTCTTGGCAGAATGGGGTTGGACTGGGTGGCCCATGATTCTATGACTCTTCTGCCATCTCACTCCAAGTCATAGCCATGTTAAGGAGGAGAAGGAGGAGGAAGAGGTGGAGACGGGAAAGGAAGGAGGGGAGAAGAAGAGAAGACAGGCCCACTGTTAATTTAAGCCACATTGACTTCACAGTAATTTATATTCCATCAAGACCCCGCCAAGGTTACAGCGGGCTCCATAAGCCTTTTTTCTCTTGCCAGAGAAATTCCAACACCTCCTGCTTCTGGAGTCTGTCTGCGCTGCTAGAGCGGGGCCTCTTCGGCGGCCTCCCTCCCGCGCAACAGCAGACGCTTAATCATTCCCAGGCCCCCGTCACCAAAGCCTTCCCACCAGCACTTCTTCCCTACCATTGGGGCTCCGAGGCAGCCTAGTCGGACCAGTTTACCCCTAGCCAAACCCCACTGCTGAACGGGATTTGGTGACTGGGGCTCCCACCGAAATGAAAAACACGAAGAGTCACGGAAAGCCAGTAAAAATGATTTGCATCTCCAGGCAAAGCCTCTGTACAAAATCTGCATGCGAAGAGAAGAGGAGGGACAGCATATCACTGCACTATTTAAATACTTAAAAGAGATACTTAAAAGAGATGTCACACAACACCACTATCCCAATTGCATGATCACAGATAGTAGCGACTTATTGGGATTACCACCCTTGCTATCACACTTCCCCACATTCATGCAATTGCACTCATTCTTGGCCCCACATCTGTACTTTCACTTAGCCTTGCAAACTTGCTCTCTCACAGTTCTGTTGGGCGAATGGGCTTACTAACAAAAGACCCTCCTCATAAATGTACAGCAGAGTGACTTATGTACAGTATAATGTACAATAGCGTGACCCAAAACTAGTACCAAAAGTGATAAAAAGAACAAAAACACACAGACCGATGTTATATCTTCCATAGGAGGCCTTTCTTTATAGCAAAATAATATGGTTGCACTATTTACAAAAACAAAGTTTCCATAAAATCAACAAAGTACTTTATACTTCCTTCTTTGCTTCCACGCTGGGCTTCTTTCTCATGCAGATAAACAGCTTCGCTCTCACAGAGCCTCTTCTCACATCAAACTTACACAGGAGCATCATACAGTAGCCTTTTACACACATCAGCCTTCACACTGGAGCCTTCCACATGAGGCCTTCAACCTGGGGCTTCTCTCACTAAAGCCTTCTCACGCCAGGCCTTTCACACACTGAAGGCCTACAAATTCTGAGGCCTCTCTCAAACTGAAGCCTCTTCAAACTAACTCTGAGGCCTACCTCACACTGAGGCCTCTCTCAAAGTCATTGCATTCATTTAAAAGCTTCCAAAGAAGGAGCCTCTACCAAACTCTGGGGCAGAGAGTTCCACTGCTGAATGGTTCTCACAGTCAGGAAGTTCTTCCTAATGTTCAGATGGAATCTCCTTTCTTGTAGTTTGAAGCCATTATTCCACACACATCAGCCTTCACACTGGAGCTTTCCACATGAGGCCTTCAACCTGGGGCTTCTCTCACTAAAGCCTTCTCACGCCAGGCCTTTCACACACTGAAGGCCTACAAATTCTGAGGCCTCTCTCAAACTGAAGCCTCTTCAAACTAACTCTGAGGCCTACCTCACACTGAGGCCTCTCTCAAAGTCATTGCATTCATTTAAAAGCTTCCAAAGAAGGAGCCTCTACCAAACTCTGGGGCAGAGAGTTCCACTGCTGAATGGTTCTCACAGTCAGGAAGTTCTTCCTAATGTTCAGATGGAATCTCCTTTCTTGTAGTTTGAAGCCATTATTCCACACACATCAGCCTTCACACTGGAGCTTTCCACATGAGGCCTTCAACCTGGGGCTTCTCTCACTAAAGCCTTCTCACGCCAGGCCTTTCACACACTGAAGGCCTACAAATTCTGAGGCCTCTCTCAAACTGAAGCCTCTTCAAACTAACTCTGAGGCCTACCTCACACTGAGGCCTCTCTCAAAGTCATTGCATTCATTTAAAAGCTTCCAAAGAAGGAGCCTCTACCACACTCTGGGGCAGAGAGTTCCACTGCTGAATGGCTCTCACAGTCAGGAAGTTCTTCCTAATGTTCAGATGGAATCTCCTTTCTTGTAGTTTGAAGCCATTATTCCACACACATCAGCCTTCACACTGGAGCTTTCCACATGAGGCCTTCAACCTGGGGCTTCTCTCACTAAAGCCTTCTCACACCAGGCCTTTCACACACTGAAG